TTCTAGCTACTTAACCAAACATTTTCAAACGAAAAAGAGTAAATATGTTTAACAACACTTGCATTTGACTTACAAATTGTTTATGGACACTTTCATAACGCGTATGCAAGTAGGCAACGTCTCGCATATATCGCTCTAGCCATAAAATGCCGAAACCACAAGCCTACTGCACCTCTATCTCTATCGGTGGGAGGTAGAAAATGTGTACTTCCTGTCGTCAAATGCTCCAAGCACATACATATGAGAGGACCACAATCCCCTCTGGCTTTCTTCGTTTGTTGTGGTGTGGTCTCGTCTCTGCTAACTGTAAAATTGAGGTTCTTTGGCTTCTTGTTTCCAGAATGAGTCCAATAATTTATCGCATCCAAGAATTTAGCCAAATGAGAGCTCCATCCCTTAATAATATCTCTTAAATCAGCCAATGATATGTAATTTATCATGCTGTCATATACTATTGCCTTAAGGGATGAGAGCTGAAGCTCGACGAGAAGCCAATGTTTACTTTCCAAAACAGGGATAAACACCTGCAATCATAAGTAATAATTCATTCATTTGCGCACTTATTTATGAATACCTTTAAACTCAATCTAAAATAAATACTAACCTTATTGACCTCCCACCATGAAGGATAAAGTTTAGCTTGTCCATTGCCCAACGCAAATGATTCATCTCGTTGATTCTTCAAGTGAATGGCGTTAAAAGACGTCGGTATAATTGTATATCGTGTATTTCTTTTATTTTTCTTAAGTTTCCTAATTATTAGAAGACGTGACACCCACGCATCGATATGTTGTTTTACAAAAAAAAGACATATATTAGTGACTTACATAAATTTAAAAAAAGAATCAAATTGAAATATAAGAAAAATATAAGACTTACCCCTCCATCGAAATAGCCATTGTCTTCGACCCCTAATAATACGCCCCACCAAGACCGATCAAGCAACATATAGATATCATTGTTGAGCTTGCATATGTCAGTGAAACACCCCTGGCTCAGCTCATGTAGATAAAAATCAACTGCGGTCTTAGCCCAAAGGGTGTTATCCAGAATTGTGTCTGGTAGTTGTCTCCTCTCCACTTCAGATACCGGAATGGTACTGGCTGGTAACTCATACGAGAGCCAACTCTCATCCATCATGTCTGGCACGTCAGAGGGTTTCTCAAGAATCTTACATATGACGCCATGTGAATCGGGCTCTTGAATGGTGGGAGGGACCTCTTCAACGATGACAGTGGCCTCTTGAACGGTGGGAGGGGACTCTCGAGGAATGATAGGGGCCTCTTCAACGATAGGAGTGGACTCTTGAGGGATGACAGGCGAGTCGGGCTTCTTCTTGCGGTGTCTTCGCACTATTGGGGTGTACGGAGACTTAATAGCACGTGCACGCCGTCTGATGCGTGAACTCCATCGTGCAAGAAAAACCCGACGTAAAGCATCCACCTTATCGGGCCGCTAAATAATTAAATACAAAAATCAGTAAATAAACAGACATGATATTTAAACAGTGAAAACAAAGACAAATATTAACTTCACAGTGTTAAAGAATAAACAGTTTAGCAGTATTGGCAGCAACCGAATAAATTTACTAAGCAATCTATGTGAAATGGTTAATCTAAGTGAAATTACGAGTAAATTTATCATCAAGTTAAATATGGAAAATCTTAAACTTACCTCGTTGCGTAGAGTATGAACCTCATTCTGCAACGATACTACCATCTCACGTAGAGCGACAACCTCACCACGTAAAGTAGACACCTCCACACACCATGCACCATCGTTATTGCGTAGAGTACCGATCTCCTCACGCAAGGCATTGACCTCATCACGTAACTCCCTTGACTCATCCCATGGAGGTGGAGGTGGAGAACAGGGAGATAGAAGTCATGGCATCTTTGCCAGTCGCCTATCATGAGGTGATGGTGGAGAAGAGGCTCGATGATGTGACGGGATAGGTGATGGCTCTCGTTGTAGAGGTGTATAGTCGGGTCGATCAGGTGATGGCTCTGGGTGAGGTGATGGCTCTCGAAGTGGAGGAAGTGGAGGCTGCTCATCATTCGTGCCATCAAAAAAACGCTGACTAGCTTGCCACCAATCAGTGGCAAGCTCAACCTCCGTGGGTGTCAGTCTCTGTAATGGAGTGTTGGCCTCCTAAAAATATAAAAACTCAAACAAAGTTAAACGTCTACTATTAATAACTTGATTATATATGATAATATTTGTGTTAACTTACATTATTTATTGTCGCATATGGTATTAAGTCTTCCCAATCCAACAGACGTTTCCTCTTCAAGGAAATAGCCCTAGGAATATCATTTGAAGTTTTTAATGCATATGTCCTCATGCTGGGGAAAGCCTCAAATATCCAAATCTACAAACAATATAATAACAAACATTAGTAATTGTTAAATAATTAATTATAATTTTGAAAACATTATATAGAAATTCTTACCTTAAAGGCTCAAACAAAGCCTGACAAAGTGTATTTCGACCCATCGCCACGCAAACTTTTGTGGTCATCAAAGGCAGACAACAACTTAGTCCAGGTAGCTTTCCATATATACGAACCCCACGGAAACAGATTCAATGCATTTAGGTCATCTACCAATAATATTAGCTCATGATGAATAGGTTGTCTGGCCTCTCTGCCTAAAAAGCCGGCATACAAAAGTACTAGAAGGCATACTCGGACAACATCGACGTCATTCATCCGAGTAAAACCATCTTTATTATTAAACAATTTCTTCAGGTCTTCGACGTGTAAGTTCGGCTTCTCTATTGACTCATCAGGAAAAACCCGGGATAACCATGATGGACGGGTGATATGACGAGTGTACCGGCCTATATCATCGTGTCCGAATCGTAGACCAGTGATTAAGCAGAACTCCTTCCGCCCAAAACAAGTATACGCCGATGGAAAATGAAACCATATCTCTTCCTCACCACGTTGTATACTATCGGGTAGATCGCTAGTCATGGTCTGAAGCCACAAATGGATCAAATTAGCATCTCCACCCGGATGCTGTACTCTCAGCCATGGCCCGAAGCAGGTTTCCTCAAACAATTTTCTTTGTGCAGGTGAAAGCTTCGAAGCAATTGTAGTAGCTAGGCTAACTTTATTCCTTAATGTCAATAAAGCCGAAAAAAATTTCTACAAAAACAATAAACATACCAAGTTAGATATACCAAAAACTACACTGTGAAGATATACCAAAAACAATAAACATAAAGAGCAGTAGTTTATTCTTGAAACTAAAATTTGCAACACTGTTTTATCTTTTGGTTGAAATGAAAATCGCAACGAGAGAATGAAAATCGCAACGCGGAAATGACTATCGCAATGAGAGAATCGCAATGCAAAATTAAAATCGCAACGAGAGAATCGCAACGCGAAATGAAAATCGCAATGCGATTTTGGTTTCTCGTTGCGATTTTCATTTCTCTCGTTGCGATAGTCATTTTCGTGTTGCGGTTTTCATTTTCATGTTTCGATTTTAAGTTTAGAAACTATTCTTCTTCTGCAAATTGAAACTTTAATGGATTGCATTACTTCAACCAAAAGACAAAACAAAGACAAATACTAACTTCACAGGGTTAAAGACTAAACAGTTTAACAGTATTGGCAGCAATCGAATGAATTTAATAAGAAATCTAAGTGAAATGGTTAATCTATTATTGAAATTACCAGTAAACTTATCATCAATTTCAATATGAAAGACCTAAAATAATGCAAAATTTTCAAAATAAAAATAATTAAAAAAACTAACACTCGGAGGTTGATTTTCCATTTCTGAATGATTGTGAGGGATTTCTGACCGTGAATGGTTGTGAGGGATTTCGCCGGAGATGGGGACGAAAATCTTCGGAGATGGGGACAGATTTCGCCGTAGAGAGTGAGAGATGGAGATGGGACTGAGTTGTGATTTTTTTTAGGTTTTAGGTTATGAGTTGCGATTACGGGATATACTATGGACGGTTCAGTGTTCCGATAATTAATATTCGTGTTTGGAATTTAAAAATAAAATACGCGTAGCGATTATAATGACGCTTTAAAAATCGCGCTGCGATTTACGGATACGCGTTGCGATTTTACGTATTGTCGTTGCGATTTACGGATACGCATTGCGATTTACGTATTCTCGTTGCGATTTACAGATACGCGTTGCGATTTACGTATTCTCGTTGCGATTTACGGATACGCGTTGCGATTTTACGTATTGTCGTTGCGATTTATGGATACGCGTTGCGATTTATATGTTCGCGTTGCGATTTTCATATTCGCGTTGCGATTCTTAATAATCGCGTTGCGATTCTGGGAACTGATTTGCGATTCTGGAGATCGCGTTGCGATTTTTATTTCGCATTGCGATTTTGTTGGTCATTTTGGCAAATCCAAAAAAAGTTGATTAAAATCGTATATTATAAGGCATTTTTTGTCACTGAGGCGATTTTCTCTTTTTTAAATAAAAAAATATAATAGTAGACACATAAAAGTATAATAAAAAAATATTATGCACATATTTTCAGCGAAAAATTCTTTAGAACCTTTATAATTCATAATAATATTTTTATAATATTATCAAATCAAAAGAGCTAAATCAAGATCAAAACATAATTAAATAATTTTATTTTATTATAAAATATTAACAAATTACTATTAAACTATTATTATATCAAGAAACGTAGTATATATCATTTTCAGAAAAAGAACAAAGTAATTAAAAAAATAAAGATTAAATTGACAAAAAAAAGTTTAAATATAAAAGATAAATTTTATTAAATTATTTTGAATCAAAATGAAATTAAAATATTGAAAATATATTGTTATTATATTGAACAATATCACTATTCTATTTAATAAAAAAATTGAAAATACAAATGAACTAATAATTGAATTTAAATAACTAATATTGTTAACGATTGGTTCAAACAATTTCTAGATTGACTCTCAGATGAAACTTCTTACATTCTTGAACCGACAACAATGGCTGTAGAGTATAATAATCTTAGCAATGAACACCAGAATAGGGTTAATGAATGTATCATTACTAGGTGCTTTAATCTAGGATCCAACGAACAGTTTTGTCTCTTAAGCAAAGCTAATCTTACATTATCTCAAAAGCACATTTTACCAAAACTAAGATCGAGTAACCGACCGGACAAACCGACATGTTCGGCTAAAACCGTCGAATGTCTTTCGGTGGTTTGAAGTTGAGAGGATGAGTTTGTTCAGTCGCAGTTTCATCTTCTTTCCACATTTTAATGGTCTTGTCTGCTTCACAGCTTACCAATCTTGTACCGGTTACATCGTACGAGAGTGCGTAGATACCGGCTTCGCTATCCAACGAGCCTGTAATAAAAGCGACCAGTCGTGTTAATTGTCATCCCATTGTCACGATCAACAAGTAGCGGATAAGGAATCCCGAAAAAAACGTACCGGGCTGTACAATTGTCTGAGCTTGCTGGAAATTGTGACCACTCCTCCAATCCCAAAACCACAAACTCCCATTGTCACCTTCAGTAATTTGCATCTAAAATTGTTAGATCTTGCGTATTTCGGGCTAACAAAGAGGCATGTACACGGTGATTCACAAAATCAAAATTATTTGATAAAATAACCGAAAATTATAAGCACCTCCGGTAGCCATTACGCCATCCTCGTTTACAGCCATGGCGTTAATTATAGTCTTCTGCTGAGAGCTGTTCCGGTAACGCAAACGACGACACTGTGTTAGTTCTACGAGCACACACACACACATCCAGAATTCAAGCATGGAAATAAAATGGCTTTCACTTACAGCATATTGTGCAAGAACTCTCCCTTTGGAAGACTGAATTTCTTAATGTTGTCAGCTGATGCGGACGCAAAAGAATGCCTAATGCAGAAAAGTTGTGAAATATTTAAAACCACAGAATAACTCCGTTTTTCGTATAAATTAATAAATTTGATGTCGGGGCGCATACTCTTTAGGATGTGGTGCCATTGCCCGTACAGACTTCTTATGGTGTGTTAGAGTTGACATCGTTTTTCCTGGACATTAAACAAACTATATGTAATAAATGGAACAAAAAAGATGGGAAATATAAAAAGGAAAAAATAAAGTCACATAAACTCGATTTACCATATCTAAGATCCCAGAATTTTATCGTTGTATCATGAGAGCCGGTAACAACTTGTGGATCCTATAAGACGAGATTCATAAGTTCCGTCATTCAACAATTTAACAATTTCTTGTGGTAAAAAGTGTAGGACATAGCCATGTACTTCGTATTTAGTATTTTACTTTGTATTAAACTTGTATTTTAAATTTATCTAAGTAGAAGATAAATCATTGTACCGTTGGTCGAGTAAAGACTGAGCAAACGGTGTTATCATGCCCAGACAGCGCAAAAATTTGCATCTTGGTGCGAATATCCCATACCTGAAAATTGTTATTCTATAAGATATAGATTTCATGACTAAAAAAATCAGGCAAAAAAAGAGCATAACAACCGAAATACATAAGCAGCTAAAATGATCGTATTAAAACAAAATTTCTGAGGGTTTTCTACATGTTGAAATTTTCATACCCGGCATACAGAATCACGTCCCCCAGTTAGCAATATATCGATTGTGGGATGAAGAGCCAAGCAATAAACACCACTTAGGTGACCATGGTAGGAACGGATAACCTATACAGCAATTTATAAGTTTCGATAACTATAATGATTTCAACAGTTACAGCAGATAAAAAGTTATAATCTCTTGCTCGATATAGATTCAAAATAATAAGTTTATGCAGTTCTAACCTTGTTCTGTTCAAGATCCCAGCATTTTACTTGCTTGTCATCACCAGCAGAGAACATATAGGTGTGTTTGCTACTGACGGCAAGGCCTGTGAATAAATATAGATTTCAAATGATTCGAATCCATGATCGATATTCATCATCCACACTTTGGTTGGCCCATAAAAACTATTCAAACCCCAGAAAAAATTGTTAAAACAAACCTCGTATCTGTTCAATGTGTCCAGTCAGTGTGAGCTTCAGCCTCCCACTAGCTACATCCCATATCTAACATGCCGAAATCAAGACAAGGAAAAGGCGGAAGTCATTTTCAGAAAGTAATGACTGAATTTTCAAATGAATTTCTTTTTATAGGCTCACATTATAGCAGAGGAGAAACAATGATAAAATGAGGAAAAAAAATGGATAGCTACTTATTACACAATTATATACCTTGATTGTACGGTCCGCAGAACCGGTACAGAACCAGTTGTTACTTGGATCAAAGGCAACAGATCTCACCCATCCCAAATGCCCACTGATGACCTGCATTAACCATTTAAACGTGTCAAGAAATCTACAGGAACTGAAAGACACAGAATTAGCGATGAAATAGGTTCAACGGGAAACAACAAATGAAATCAACTGGCATTATAAAAAGGTGAAATTAGTGAATAATATTCTTAATGTAGCTTTAGTTATAAACATGTTTATCAAAAGACTAGAACTAGAACACACAATCAGCATGTGCCCCCAAGGGGAAATAAATTAGAGAATAAAACAATATTTATATCAACTACCATGATGTAGAGAGAGAGATTCTCACCCTGTAGTTCTTCCATGGACGATGCCACACGGGACGTGGCCATTTGCTTGGGATTCTTTCTATTATAGCAGAGGTTGTCAGCCTGTCACATGAAGGAAACCATAAATCTTAAAGCTGTAAATGTCCTAAATTCGAAGGAGCGGCAAGCCAAGTAGTAATCTACATATAGATCATATAACCAAATAAATACTTCTATATGCAAAAGTGAAAACATGCTTGACCACATTCACCTAAAAGCTTGCCATGCCTAAACAAAGGTAAGTTAAAGAGACAAACAAATGATAGACCTAATTGCATGAGACACAGATTTTTTACATTTGACAGCAGGTAACCAATAAAAACAAAACACCATGGAAAATAAATGTATTACGGCGGAATAGTAATCACATGGTAACACGACTTCCAGAATTATTAATGAGCCTGAAAACGCATAACAGAGAGAGGGAGAACCTTTCAGAAAAGGGTGCAGAAGCAGAAGTAATGGCAGTGCTTTTGCCAGAATTACCAACATCATTTCTGGTAAGAAGAAAGAAAGACGAGAAAAAATTAGTCACACGAATCAGCAACATAATTTCTTCTACATAACAGAAACAGATTCCAATAGAACAATGATACGGCGGTCTATACAAATACGAATCAATCCCATTTAACAGTGAACCCACGTCCGTTGTTTCATCGGGGAAGACTACCAAAATTAACATATAGAGCATTTAGAACAAGAGAACTTACTGCCCCTTTGGTTGCAAAGATGGTCCAACAACTAAAGCATTTTGAGTGCCTTCCTTTTGAGAATTACTAGAGTCAGCTGGACCTGCTCCATTAACAGTTACAGTTACACAAGTCTTAACATGACATGCCAAAATCACTGTATCTAACAATCATTAAGTATCAAGCAATTCGAATGCACCGAACCCTAATTACCAACACTGGAATTACCTGTAAGAGCAAGGACATTCGAAGGCACCGAACCTTGATTCCCAGCACCTGAATTAACTTGCTTCGAAGGTTGACCCGGGGCAGTTTTAATTCCACTATACTCCACGTTTATCTTACAAATTTAGATCAAAAACCAATAACACACTTATAATTCAATAAACAATCCCCATTACAGTACTACTACTAACAATAAAAACTAAAGTTCAAGCAAAACAGACTAACCTTGTGGCTCATGCGAATTTTTTTGCTGCACTCAACCAAAGAAAAAAAGAGCTTAGTTTTTAAGTACGGCTCAACGAAATTTGAATGAACAAATGAAGGGCGGAAATTGCAATTTGTTCAATTTTGAAGTAAAAATATGAAACCTTTCGGGGTCAGGAGGGGCGAAATGGCCATGGACAGGGCTAAAGAGATCCAGAGCGCGCTTTAGGGATTTAAGACTAAGCTTCTTCAATGACTGCGGCTCTACTGGCTCCATCTCCAGCGCCGGCCCTCCCATCTTCTCCCAATTAAGAAGATTTGGGATTTAGGGTTTTAGGTTGATTCAAACCGAATTGGAATCCTTAGACCCTTTCCTTTTTTATTACAGCCAGAGCAAGAGGGAGAGGTGGCTGTCGAGTGTTGACGAGAGAAGCAAGGGCATGGAGATTTAATTCAATATAGTTCCAATATAAAACAATATACGATTTATTTTTTTATTAAAAAATATAGGATTAATACGAAATGATAAAAAAAAGAAAATAATTTGACCGAAAATGTCTTATAATATACGATTTTAACCAATTTTTTTGGATTTGCTAAAATGACCAACAAATTCGTAATGCGAACTCCAATTTCGCAACCCAGTTTCCAATTTCGCAACGCGAATTTGTAAATCGCAACACAGAAGTCAAATTCGCAACGCGATAGTCAAATTCGCAACGCTAATTTGTAAATCGCAACATAGAAGTCAAATTCGCAACGCGATAGTCAAATCCGCAACGCGATAGTCAAATTCGCAACGCGATAGTCAAATTCGCAACGCGAAACACAATATTAATTTCGCAACACAAATGTAAATAATATTATAACAAATCATAACCTAAAACCCTAAATCACAACTCAGTCTCATCTCCATCTCTCACTCTCTACGGCGACATCCGTCCCCATCTCCGGCGAAATCCGTCTATCTCCATCTCTCAGAGCAACCATCACAACCATTCACGGTCAGAAATGGAAAATCAACCACCGATGGTTAGTTTTTTAATCTCTTATTTTTATTTTGAAATTTTTGTATTATTATTATATTTTTCTTATATTGATGATAAATTTACTGGTAATTTCAATATATATTTTAACCATTTCACTGAGATTGCTTAGTAAATTCATTCGTCTGCTGCCAATACTGCTAAATTGTTTAGTCTTTAATCCTGTGAAGTTAGTATTTGTCTTTGTTTTGTCTTTTTGTTGAAGAAATGTAATTTATTCAAGTTTCAATTTGTAGAAGAATAGTTTTTGAAACTTAAATTCGCAACACGAAAATGAAAATCGCAACACCAAAATTGCAACGCAAAAATGAAAATCGTAACGCGATTTTCATTTTCGTGTTGCGAATTTAAGTTTCAGAAACTACTCTTATTCTGCAAATTGAAACTTGAATGAATTGCATTACTTCAACAAAAAGACAAAACAAAGACAAATAATAACTTCACAGTGTTGCTAATTTAAGTTTCAAGAATAAACTACTACTCTTTATGTTGTCCTTGAACCTGCACTAAACTTATATGTTGTCCTTTTAAATGTTTATATAAGTGTTTACTTCTTGAATGTTATTTGATACATTTTGTGAACTATGATGGAATAATGACAGCATGTGAATACCGTGCTAGTTTGAAACATATTTGGCTTTGTTTTCACTGTTTAATATCATGTCTGTTTATAGTGTATAATTTGTAGTTTTTGGTATATCTAACTTGGTATGTTTATTGTTTTTGTAGAAATTTTTTTCAGCTACATTGACCTTAAGGAATAAATTAAGCCTAGCCACTAAAATTGCGTCGACGCTTACACCTCTACAAAGAAAATTGTTTGAGGATACTTGCTTCGGGCCATGGCTGAAAGTACAATATACGGGTGGAGATGCTATGTTGACACATTTGTTTCTTCAGATCATGACTAACAATCTACCCGAGAGGATACAACGTGGTGATGAAGAGATATGGTTTCATTTTCCTCCGGCACCAGCGTATACTTGTTTTGGGTGGGAGGAGTTTTGCTTAATCACTGGTTTACGCTTCAGACACGATGAAGTAACCTGGTACACTAGTCATATCTCCAGCCTATCATGGTTATCTCGGGTTTTTCCTGAGCTGGCAAAGTCGAAGCCGAGTTTACACATCGACGACTTGAAGAGATTATTTGTTAAAGATGGTTTTACTCGGATAGATAACCTTAATGTTGTCCGAGTATGCCATTTATTACATTTGCATGCCGGCTTTTTAGGCAAAGAGGGAAGACAACCTATCTCTGAGGAACTAATATTATTGGTAGAGGACCTAAATGTATGGAACTTGTTTCCTTGGGGTTCATATCTATGGAAAGCTACCTGGAAGAAGTTATCGTCTGCCTTTGAGGACCGAAAAAGTTTGCGGGGCGATGGTTCTAAATACACTTTGACAGGCTTTACTTGGGCCTTTAAGGTAAGAATTTCTATATAATGTTTCCAAAATTATAATTAATTATTTAACAATTACTAATGTTTGTGTATTATATTGTTTTGTAGATTTGGATATTTGAGGCTTTCCCCAGCATGTGGACATATGCGATAAAAATATCAAATGATATTCCTAGGGTTATTACCTGGAAGAGGATCCGCATGTTGGATTGGGAAGAGTTACTCTCATATACGACGATGAATGATGTAAGTTAACACACAAATAATACCATATATAAACAAGTTATTACTAGTACAAGTTTAACTTTGTTTGAGCTTTTATATTGTTAGGAGGCCAACTATCCATTACAGAGGCTGACACCCACAGAGGCTGAGCTTGCCACTGATTGGTGGCAAGCTAGTAAGCGTTTTTTTGATGGGACGGATGATGAGCACCCCCCACTTCGAGAGCCATCACCTGATCGGATCGATTCTACAGCTCGACACCCGGAGCCATCACCTGATCGAGCCTCTTCTCTACCTCCATCATCACCTATTCCATCACATCATCGAGCCTCTTCTCCACCATCACCTCATGATAGATGACCAACAAAGAGGCCACGACATTTATCTCCCTGTTCTCCACTTCCACGGGGTGAGTTAGAGGAGTTACGTGATGAGGTCGGTACTTTGCGTCATGAGGTCGGTACTTTACGTGAAGATAATGGTGCATGGCGTGATGAGGTTCGGTCTTTACGTGGTGAGGTGGATTTTTTACGCGATGGCAATGGTGCGCTACGTGGTGAGGTATCTACTTTATGTGATGAGGTTGCCACTCTACGCGAGATTATTTCATCGTTGTAGAATGAGGTTCATACTCTACGCAATGAGGTAAATTTGTTTAATACTATACTAAAAATGCAAATAACCTTTTTTCGACATTATTTATTTATTTATTTAATGATTTATGTATTAATTTATTTTCAGCGGCCCGATAAGGTAGATGCTTTACATCGTGTTTTTCTTGCACGACGGGGTTCACGCATCAGACGTCGTGCACGTGCCATTACGTCTCCTTTCACCCCACTAGTGCCAAGACTCCGTAAGAAAAAGCCCGATGCACCTATCATCATTCAAGAGGCGCCTCCTATCGTTCAAGAGGCCCCTTTCATCATCGAAGAAGCCCATCCCACCGTTCAAGAGGCCCCTGTCATCGTTCAAGAGGTCCCACCCGCCGTTCAAGAGCCTGATTCATATGGCATCATATGTCGATATATTGATAAACCCCCTCCCCTACCCGATATGATGGATGTGAGTTGGCTTTCGTATGTGTTACCGGCCAGTACCATTTCTCAGCAGGAGAGGGAAACACTATCGGACACAATTACAGATAATACCCTTTGGGTTAAGACCAAAGTTGATTTTTATCTATATGAGCGGAGTAAGGGGTGTTATTCTGACCTATGCCAACTCGACGATGTTATACATTTGTTTCTTGATCGGTCTTGGTGGGGTATTTTATTAGGGGTTGAAGATAATGTCTATCTCGAAGGGGTGGTAAGTCTTATATTCTTCTTATATTGCATTTTGATTAATTTTTATAATTATTAATAAATTCACTAATATATGTATTTTTTTATAAAACAACATATTGATGCGTGGGTATCACGTCTTCTAATAATAATGAAATTGAGGAAAATAAGAAATACTCGATGGACTATTATGCCGACATCTTTTCACGTAGCTCACTTGAAGGATCCGAGAGATGCTTCATATACGTTAGGTAATGGAAAAGTTAAACTTTATCCTGCATGGTGGGAGGTCGATAAGGTTAGTATTTATTTTTTGAATATTTTAAAGGTTTTCATAAATTTTATTTGATGTGTGCAATTATTTATGATTGCAGGTATTTATCCCTGTTTTGGAACGTCGTCATTGGCTTCTTGTCGAGCTTTAGCTCCCATCCCTGAAGACAATGGTATATGACAGCATGTTGAATTACATACCATTGCCTGATTTAAGAGATATTATTTGTAAGGGATTGAGCGCTCATTTGGCGAAATACTTGGACGCGATTGATTATTGGACTAATTCTGGAAACAAGAAGCCAAAAAAGTTCAAAGTTACAATGATCAGAGATGATACTGCGCCACAACAAACGGAGGGAGCCAGAGGGGATTGTCGTCCTCTTGTATGCATGTGCTTGGAGCATTTGACGACAGGAAGTAAACACCTTCTACCTCCCACAGATAGAGATAGAGCTTCAGTAGGCTTATGGTTTCGGTATTTTATCGCTCGAGCGATATATGCGAGACGTTGCCTACCTGCATCCGCGTGCTGAAAGTTTGCATAAACAATTGGTAAGTTTGAGCAAGTGTTGTTAACATATATACTATTTGTTGGTTTGAAAATGTTTGGTTAAGTACTTAGAATTCAATAATTTGTTGTTTGTTGGTTTTAGATGTGTAGAAAGTGTTGTTTGAGCAAATGTTTGGTTTATGCAGGTTATTCCTGACGCGAGCTGCATGAAATTGATGTATTTGTGCATAAACAACAGTCTGGGGTACTTTTTTTTTTTGCTTTTTTAATTGAATTTTACATTGAAAGTTGATTTGTTTAATTGATGAGGAAATAAGAATTATTTTTTGCTTGTTTAATTGATTTGTTTAATTTGATGTGTAAATAAGAATTATTTTTTTGCTTGTTTAATTGATTTGTAAAAGTTGATTTGTTGTTTTAAATTCAATATGCATTATGTTGAAGGCAAAAAAGACCTGTTGAAGGTAAATTCGCAACGCGAAAGTCAAATTCGCGTTGCGATTTTTGGTTTGCGATTTCTCGTTGCGAATTTGACTTTCGCAACGCTTATTTTGCGTTGCAAATTTGACTTTTGCATTGATCGCAACATACAACATCAAGTTATATACAACATCAAACACATTCCAAGCTATAAATACAAGCTAT